CCCAAGTTGTAATCACAAAGGTAAAAAATACAACAAAACAAAAAAGAAATCTTATGAGATTTCAAAAACTACCTAGAAAGCAAAGGGTAACTACATCACACTCCAGCTAAAACTCTGGTCACATGTCAGTAAATGACAAAACAGATTCATTTCAATAAGATCCAGATTTCCTCCCAAGAGCAATTAAATTCTCTGCAAAGCAGTTAAACCCCATCTGTCTCTTATTCCATAATCCTATATCCTTATAATTACATATTGATGCTCACTCTGTATATAGCAAAAAATACACTTTCTTATTTCAGTAAAAGTTAACACAGCACAAACATTCATATTGTTACTAGAGCCTACAGTAACATTGGGTCAGGGGACTCAAATCTCTTTTGTCTTCTTCTCTGTATATAAGTAAAACGTGTATTTTTTGCTATTTCAGTAAAAGTTAACACAGCACAAACATTCATATTATTACTAGAGCCTACAGTAACATTGGGTCAGGGGACTCAAATCTCTTTTGTCTTCTTCTACAATGGGGTCTTGATGGGGCCTGATAATACAGAGAAAGCTCATGAAAGTTTCCCATCTAAATCTATTTCTGTAAATTAAATTCCTTTAAAAGAAAACCCACAAAACTCCAGAGAATAAGCTGCTGTGGTGTGGGGAGTATTAAAAAAACAGAAGACAAAGCTAATAAATATTTTCAGTTTGAATTTTAGCTCTTGCAGGCTACCATGCACTAGAGTATCATAGTGTCTTTAAAAATTCACATGCTTCAAAACAATACAGAGTAATAACTATATTACCTATCCTATTCTTAATGTAAGAACTTGGAACTTCCAAAAATATTCAAAGTTTCTGCTGCGTTTTGGGGTCAGGGTAGCCCACAGAACTGTAACACACTCTATTAACCCCCTCCCCCAACCCCAAAAGGGAAAGAGAAAGGGAATAAGGGAGAGAGGCACTTATTGATTAGAAAACAGCTTTACCACTACCACTAGTAATAATGATAATAAAATAGACTATGTACAAATATATACAAAGTTAGTATGGAACCCAACTCCCCCTGATGGCAACATGTCACTGTCACCCCTGTCTGGGGAGCAATTCTGTTTTACCCCAAATCACAACAGTTTCACTCTGAACAAACCCATATTCAAGCTTATGTTTCTCATGTGTCTACTTAATAGTATGGACAGGAGGAAATAAAACAGGTCAAACCTTGCTACAGACAAATTAAGGAAAGCAGAAGTGTACCGAAGTTGATACATGAGACTATAGCCCAAGTTATGATTCCAAGGAATAGGAAGAAAAACACAAGTTTCCTGCATTCTCCAGTAAAAATACTCCAGTCCTAAGCAGCTATGTCAAAGGTCATTGTAGAAATCCTTCAGATGTGTAACTACCAGACTTCTACTGAGTGAATACTAACCCTAACTGAATAGGCACAAGCAAGTAAGACAGTAATACAGGCTCCCTCTCCAGTGAAACAGAATTCTTCCACAGGAACTAAAAACTCTTAAAAAAAAAAAATCTTGTTTTTATATAGTTGTAATATATATGTTTTTATATAGTTGTAATCTCAGCTTCATTTCTAGCTACTCACTCAGCAGCAGTGAAATAAAGAGATATTTACACTATAACCCTTAACTTGGTCCCTGACCTGAAGATAACAACAGAACTGATGAAAGCCTGTATTAAGAAAAAAAACCAAAACCACAAACCCTCTCCCACCACCAAATCAAACTAACAAAAACCCCACAAACAAAACACAGCAGAAGTATCTGGAGGAGTAACACACAGACATTATCACAACTGTTCTGCCAAGCATCAGCCTTCTCAGCAGAAATAAGATCTGTGCTTTGGTGCTCAGCAGCAAAGACCAGTTGTTGAAAGGAACAGAAGGAATGCCAATGAAATGAATGCTTGGACACTTGAAAGGAGTTCCAATTCTTAGAGGGTTATCCAATTGACTTGTTGCCTTGAAAACTAGAAATGAAACATAAGTAGGGATCGTGGAATGAGTTTTCTGTTACACAGCTAGAGAATAAACATTTGTATCCTGACAAGGTCTCAAAAAAAGGTGCATGTCCTACTTACCTGTAAGTCCCCATCTTATGAGAGGTTATTTAGATTTGAATAACTTTTAAACCTCCAAGACTGGATTGCACATTTTCTCCATAGCTGTTGGCTCAGTGAACAGCAGGAGGATTGTCCTACAATAGGCCAAATTTATTTTATTTTCTCCCCTTGTCCCTAAAACCAAGCTCTACTGAGAACATTTCTTCTCCCAAAAAAGGACAAAAAGATAGAGTAGCCAGCAAGCTCCTTCCATTGTCTTCCTATTCTGGTTGCCATTTCAGAAGTTTAGTTAAAATTACCTCTGCAAGAGCTGGTTTTTGCAAGTGCTTTGACCAACTTTGAATCTAACATCCCCCAACAAAAGCTTCACTGCCATCTATAGGAAAGTTTCAGAAAAGCATTTAACAGTTGCTGGTACTAAGGATGATGCAGCTTGAAAGGCTATCCTGCTATTGTATTGTCAGAAAAAGGTGAATTTTACACTAAACACTACCAGTTACTCCCCGTGTAATTACATGAATTTTTATTCAGCTACAACACTTCTACTCACTCCAGCCTGATGCCATGGAAACACCACAACCATCTGCTTTGGAGATTTCCCTGGAAATATTAATTCCAAGGGGCAGTCAGGCTGGTACTAGCTCAAGCACTCCAAACTCTCATATCCAACTCTTATCAACTGGATTTTGACACACAGATATTAACTGGTTTTACCCTCTCCACCCTAGAGGAGAGAAACAGCATAATTTGATCACCTATCTCCTCCCAGCAATCAAAACATCTGAGGTGCTGACTAATCAGTCATTATTCTCAACACCTTTAGTTCTACTTTTTTTTTTTAACCTTTTTTTTAACTCATTGCATGCATAGAAAAAGAAAAACATGGAACAAAAAGCTTACATTAACCCACACGAAAACATAATTCTTCAGAAATAACAAAAACATCAGAACATCTGCATCTTCTAATTAAAAATGACCAATGTTTAGGCTAAAGAAATCAAATCATGCCTTCTAACAACAAGCAGCACAAGGGAAAAAAACACCACCACTAAAAGGCAATTTAACAAACATACTAGAGATACAATTTCCCCCCCAAAAAAACCTGGCTGAAAACACATTTCTGCTTTGTAAAAAAAAATTACCAAAAACATTATTGCTCTTTCTCTCATTTAGGATTAAAAAAACAAAGTACAGTCAGGACTGTAATTCTTGAACAGGACTAACAGGATAAAAATCAAACTGAGTGGAAAACCCACACAACTTTTTACATTCAACAGTAACTCTTACTTACAATCTCTTCCTTTCTCCTCTTCCTCAGAACACATTAAGTTCCTTCTTCCATTTTTAAGCCCTCTCTAAAAGCTATTTATTTTCAAAAATGAAGAAATAAGCCAAAATAATGAACAGAAATATCAAATGCTTCTAATGGACCTCAGCTCCACAAAACTTCCAACAGCTTCTGTCAATCAGAACATTGATTATCAATTCATACACATGCACAAACTAACACAGAGAGTCATATGTATCAAATAAAAACCTAGATACATGATCCAAAAAGCATGGGGAAGTGGAGTCTTTCATTTGTTTGATCAATTACACTGTATGCATCAAAAACAACTGTATTTAAAGTTCATTAAGGACCAGGTTTAAAAATTTCCCTTTTTCACCTGGCACAAGCATGCAAGTGTCTGGGGAAAATGTTGTTTGCTTTTGCCATGGCCTACATTCAATGTTTTTGTCCTCTATAGATGTCAGTAAATGTATAAAGTACATACTGGAAAAGTCTCAAACTGCTTTTCCAGGCTGGCCATAATGACCATGAAAAGTTAACAACCATTTCTAAACTCTTTTAAGCACTACATCTCAACCTGGTAATTTAAGACAGAAAGCAAACTATACCACAAGTAGCTGAAAACATATCAGGAATCTGCATATAGTTCACATAAAAAGAAGTAAGCACATAGCTATGCCCAGTTTTGAGGAGAAATCTCCACTGGGCTGCTCTTGGGCTAGAGCAGATAACCCTACTAAAATCAAAAGTCTGAGGAGGTGCCACAAAGCCTGTCCAAGTCTGAAACTGGCATCTACGTTATCAAATTGGCACATTCCTGAAACACATGAAGTATGACACATTGATTATACCAAATTCTTTTCGTTCTCCTTGTTAACATGTTAATAAAATCTGAGTTGCTTAATTCAGAAATCTATTCACATGGAGGAATATGAAAAGTGAAAAGTGGTAAAGAAAGACAGTATTGTTGTCACACCCACCAAAATAACAAGGTTGGCTCCTTGACCTCATCTGTTCTGCATCTTGTGTGTCAAATTTGACACAGAGCCCTGCTACAGTCAGGCATCTACCTTAAAGATTCTATGTTGAACTTACTGAGAAACCAAAAACTTGTGTCCAAAATGTACATACATAGTACAGAAACAGGATAACGGGAGAAGTCAGATAGGTGATAGCTGTTACCTTGCTTTTTCACTCCTGCATTTACAGATTGGTAGGAGATATTTAGCCCATCATTTGCAGAAATTAATTCCTTTATTCTTTGGGAGCACTACCATGAGACTGCAAAAGGACCGACCTCTTCGGTCTTTACTTGAGAATAAGGAAAAAACTGTAAACAGCCTAGTCAAGGTCACTTATCCAGAAACAGGACTTCCTAAACAAGATGTTCTAAAAAGCTGTCAGCTACAGAGGAAAGAGAAAACAAGCATCAAGTAAAAAAAAAAACACCAAACCCACAACAACCAAACATTAATTCTGCTTTTAAAATATACTTAATACGCAATAAACTCAAAACACTATAATTATGAAAGTCATGCCTACAAATACAAAACACTAATTCTGCTTTTAAAATATACTTAACATGCAATAAACTCAAAACACTAAAATTATGAAAGTCATGCCTACAAATACATACTATGCTGTTCATTTCTGAAGATTCATAGCTTCCACACGGATGGACACTTCCAATGGGTTCCAGCCCTTCTTCATCCCACATATACGTGCCATCAGAGCTGTCAGATGGAGAAAGCTCAAAAGAGGACCCTGCTCTGTAATTCATCTCTGGAGAAATCTCATTCTCGGTAGTGTGCTTTGTGCTTTCACTGTTGTCATCTACTGCTTAAAGAAAAGAAGAATAGTTAAGATTCCAAAACCAAAGCAATATTCCAAAAATTATTAAGGTTATTGGTGCATTAACTTTTCTGATGCTGTACTGTGACAGAAATATCCGAAAGCAGAAGCAAAGGCAGCAGGAGCAGGTGGGGAGGAGAAATTTTCTTAAAAGATTACCAGGCCAGAGAAGTGAACAGCACAGCAAGGATATGAGGAACCAAACCATATCATAAGTGTGGTTAAAGGATGTGTCATTCATTCTTATCCCAAAGAATAAGACCTCTTCAAAAGTCATGCTTGGGCAACAAAACTATCACACAGAAAAAGCGCTCTAAGAAAAACAGGCCAGCACAGAACCAAGTTCCATCCTGAAAATTCACAGGCAGTGGGCAATTACATAAAACAACTTAAAGAATCTTGATTTACTACCTAAAATTTCCAATGCAACACGACAAAGTATTTACCAGACATGTTTACATCAAGCCAGTCCTCAGCGTTGCAGGAAGATCCTCCGCTTCCCTTGAGAGAAGTGAAGGGCTCGATCGACGTGATACTGCCACCCTCCAGTTCTTGAAGGCAGCTCTCCTTCTGCTGTCTTTGCATAGTTCTGTTGGAGTCTTCTATGTCTATGAAATCATCACTGAAGTCTTCACTCAAATCATTTTTTTCCGAGGATGACAAAGAAGATATAGATATCTCATCTCCATCATCACTCATACACATGACTTTTGACCCATGTTTTCCCATACTTTCGTGTAGGCACTCATCAGATCCTGTTCTTTGAGCACTGCTCTCTATAATACTGTTCTTCTCAATTGTTCTGTTAACGTTTGTTGAAATGTCAGAGTTCTTCACGATGCAGGTGTCAGGAGTTGTACTTTTGCTGCCATCCACAGCTACATTTCCAGCTAATTGCTGCCTGTTAGGCTTCAGCAGGGAAGGCCGACTTAATCTGTATCCAAAAGAAGGTGCTGACCCAGATCCATTTGACAGTGGGGGCTTCTTTGAACAAGCAGCTGACATCCCAGAATAAGGCCTGGTAAATCCATACTTCATAGACTCATTTCCATTGGGTACATCCAACTGACGTGCACTTCTTGACAACAAAGTCGACCTCTGAGATGTCCTGGCAGCTAGATTTTGACTATGGTAAGGCCTTGTAAGATCCACAGCTTTATTAAAGGAATGTGACCTGGTTAAAGATGCAGTGGGAAGCAAAGAATTCTGAATGGAATGTGAAAAACTTTGTGATCTTACCATTTTTTCACAGGAAAAAGCCTTGCCATTGTCTGTAGATTGTGCCAGGCTTTCTCCTGAACTTGTCCTCGCGGCACTGGAATTAGCTCTAGGTCTCTGCAAACCTACCACTGGCCTATTTCCATGAAATCCATTTAAATGTGATTTTGGAGCATTGAGTCCAGAGTACGAGGTCCTTCCTGACAGGGTACCTTTGGCGAATTTTGCTGAACTAGAGAGTCCAGGCAAAGACTTTGGGTTTAAATCCTCAGTAGAAGATACAAACATATTGGTTTGCTTTGCTGCTTTTGATGCAACCGAAGCAGTGCTGTTCAAACCCACCCTGAGCACATCGTTACTCAATGCTCCTTGAGACTGAGAAGACTTCTCCGAATCGATTAATTTTTCATTACAGTTATGTTTAGGATTGGTCTCTCTCTCGTTTTGATCATGAAGTTGATAGTTGTTTGATTTTTTCCAGTTGAAAGAAAAGGAAGACATGCGAACAGTGCCATTGTGCTTGCCAAAATTTTTGCCACCATTATTCCCTGTGAGACTAACAGCCGTCCCGTTTGGCATAGGTTGCAAAACACTTCCTAAAGTTTTTGTTCCATATTTTGGTAGCCTGGAAACCAAGGATGTCCTGATTTGATTTTTTTCTTCCATGAGCTATTGGGTACATTGGTCCTTGAAGCGTGCTTGAATCTAAGCAAAAGAAAAAGAAAAAAATTAGACCTAAATCAACCACACGTCAAACAATGTAATTTTATATGTATTTGCATCTATACATTTACTACATTCCTGTGCATAACTATACTTAAGGGCTACAAAGTAACCCACACAAATTTTGCCAACTCCAGAGAAATATTTGTCACCAGCAGCTTTTTGACTTCTGTTGTCTAAACTGCCTTTTTTCTTCCTTTTAAAAATCTATACAATAAGCTTAAGGAGTTGATTTTTTTCCATTTACTCATCTTGAGCAGAAAACTGAATTTTTCAACTGTGTTACAATTATTACATACTTAAGACTTTACATTTAAAAACTCCCACAAACAGAAGATAGCAGAAACCTGTGGACAGCAATGTAGAATGGCAAAAACTATAATGTCAAGTCTGACCAAAAGCTAACTTCTGGACTTTTTTTCCCCCCATTTCCCTAACATTTATATTACAAAACACACAAATCATACTCATCATCCACCTTCAACTCCAACTTCACTTTGTTTCCAGATCTTATTGGTATCCCCAATTCAAGATGAACATTACTAGCCATTTTTTTCCTTTTTGTACAGAAACTAGTCTATTTTAATTGTCTTCTTTTCATGCACAAGACTTGAGGTACAGGGCAATAGCTGCATAAGGTCAGTGTTAGTAAGCAAATTCAGAAGTTATACTTGTGTGCAGCAATACATGAACACATAACCCTAGCTACACAAGTCTGAGATAAAAAGGTAGTTGCAGCATTCATACATTCCCCTGTGTCTTGAATTTTGCCCCATCCACCTGATTTGAAATACAACTAATCTTCATTAAAGACTGTGAAGCCCCTGTGTCTCAACTTATATAATTTTGATCTGTTTTATGGTTTTATAAAATAAGCATGATATATCTGCTTTATAGACACATCTTTGCCTCAAAACTTTTTGCCTTGAGAGTTCTGATCTCCTTAATGTTTGTTTTTTCCACACTCATCTCCATATCCATCCTACTAATTGGACAACTAATTGTGTCTTTATCACCCTCCTGTAAAGCACTAACTCTCTTGTTTTGCCTGGCTATACAGGACATATAACTTGCCTATGCACTATTATTAAAGACTTGGAATTCAAATAAGGCCACAAGAAATCTCCAAGTTTCAATGCTGCATCCTAAGACAAGTTTTAGTCTTGTGTTAAAACTTTGTATTTGCAAGACCAGGGTTGTGTTTTTTCAAGACAGTTGTAAAAGGACATCTTGCTTTGACTAGCCTGATTTTGTTTTCTCCAGTTCTACCCAATGGTCTTACAATGGTGTCAAGACAGAATTTCAGTCATTCATATGCTCTTCCCTGAAACTATTACCTGTGTTTCTCCTTTCACAGAGTTACACACACGTGGCAGGACTTAAAGGAAAAACCAAACATTAAAATTTTCAAACCACATCAACCATGCTGAGAATCAACACACAGCAAGTAATATTATACTTCTTTAAGGCACAAAAAAATAAGTTGTGCAACCACAGCAAGCATTAACTTACAGCGAGTCACTCCCCAAGCTGCAAGACCTCACTAAGAAACAATCTAAGATAAAAATCAAAGTGGTATTAAATTTGTGGAAACTGAAGTACTCTTGGTATTCTGTAAATTAATAAGATGCCCCAGAGCATCACTTCTAGAAGTAGATCCACATAAAAGAAGGTATGAAGAGAAACATACTCTGAGAGATGGCTTTTCAGGGGCTCCTAACTTAATGAAAGCTCCTAACATCCTACAAACAGCAGAGTGCATTTCCATTTAGAATACACAAATCCAGAGTTTTCAATACTAAGTGAATTCCTGAGCACTGGAGATGTAACCTTCATCTAGGCATATAAAGAAGCACACAATTATCTCCCTGCCTGGCAACAGCAAAACATTTAACTCGCAGAGAATAGGTGCCTGCATGTGGATTTAGGGACCTAATGTTAGACCCTTCTCAAAAACACTATCACCAACATGCCTGTGCACCTTGCAAATGAAAAAAACAAAATGCTTTAATATTGAATGTGAGCATCAAAGATATTTACTTTTGTTCAAATATACACAGTAAAGGTAATAAAATAACCTTTCTAAGAACAACTCCATGCATAAAATATGGCCTATTTACATCATGATTAATTCATTCACAGCAAACACCACACTACAGATCCATCAAAAGATAGCCCAAGTCTGAAAAAAAAATGTTCAAGTCTTGTAAAGAAATCTTCCAAATTAAAAAAAAAAGGTAAATTGGAAAGCTACTAATTTAACTTTAAAGCTTTATGCATAATTTCCTTTTCACATCTGTCTAACATCTCTTAGGTGACTGCAAAATTGAATTGAGGCCATTTAATTAGATTACTATAATCCTCCATCAAGTGCTGCAAATTAAACTTGAAAAGAGGACTTTCAGTTCTCTAGGAAGGGTGCTTGCTCATTTACCCTTAATTAGGGAAAG